CACGTGTCGGGCGGAAAAATGGCCGCGGACCACGTGTCAGGGGCGGAAAAATGGCCGCGGACCACATGTCAGGGGTGGAAAAATGGCCGCGTACCACGTGTCAGGGGCGGAAAATGGCTGTGGACCACGTGTCACAGGAGGGAAAATGGCCGCGGACCATGTGTCACGGGAGGGAAAATGGCCGCGGATCCGGTTCGTAACTCGAGGTGGTTCGCAACACGAGGTAAATTTCTGGGGCCGGAGCTGGTTGTAACACGAAAAATTCGTAAGCAGAGGCATTCGTAACTCGAGGTACCGCTGTATGTCCCTAGCAAAGAATTGTCAACATGGTCCTTAAAAATATAGAATGACTCCTAGAATCTAATGGAGTTTGTGGCTATAAATCAGCGTAGGATTGACTATGCTATGGCACTGCTGAAACAATATTTTTTCTTTGTTGTTTCATATAGGCCATAGTAATCTTTTCTTCCCTCCTTCCCTCTGTCCCTTCCTTCCTTGAGAGGTACAGGTTTGTTCCTGTGTTGGCTGTAAAACATCTACTATTGGATTTTGTTTGGGGTATGGTTGTTCAGAAGCTAGTTTTAAAATGAATATGCATTAACATCTCTGGATCTCATTAAACTGCTTCTTGAATATCTGAGACCAACAGGAATTTTTAAAAAAGAGAAAAGTCTTTAGGCCTTTAAAAAGCTACTGATAGGATATATAATGGGTTTTCACTTGTAGAACTAGCTAGCATAAAACTTTCTTTGTTTATAATCACATGCGTGTGTCATATTTAGTTACTCTTTTGCAACTTTCAGATATTGTAGAGTGAAGTAGAGTGAAACATATAATGTCTAGCATAGTGGATATGAATCAAATACTATTCCTGAAGATCGGGTGGATGGGAATTATTTAGAATGTCCTCCTGGAATTTCTGCATGGGATATTCCTGATTCTGTGAAGTAGATCTCACTGAATTATTCTCAGGGATGGATGTACTATAGATTGTAGCATAACAGCTAATATAAAGTAGCTATTTTGGCTTCTTTCTAGAAATTGTTGCCAAAATAGTTTGTAGATGTTATTTTTGTTCTTATTCTGTCAATTAAACATGGGAAAAGGAATAGTTATCTGAAAAGTATCAATTTCTAGTTATGGAAATTTACTAAATTTATTGTAGGGAACATACAGTCTGGCTTTATAGGAATTTACAAGTAAATAAGGCAGATATGACTAAAATAATAAATAAATGCAATATTTAGATTAATGATTGCCACTAGTAGCTATCACTCAACAGTGAATGTGAACTTATTATCTCTCTCATAGGATTTCTTAATTAATATCTAATCTTGCTGCTGATAAGAGGTTTCTAATTTTAATAAGTGTTAAATCTAGTTTTCTAAACCCTTACTGTTTAAATAATCAGAATTAATGTGTGAACAATTTTCTTTCTGATGGACACACCTGTAATTCTAAACTTTAAAGCATAACATTAACATCTTTTGAGTTGAAATTGTCTTCAGTTACTGTCATCAAATGCGCTTATCTCAGTAGACTACCACGGCATTGGAATATATTTTGAAGACAATGCTATTGTCATATACTGTTTACTTTTCATAGATTTTCTCTCCAGATATTGCATCTTTTAACAAATTGTAGTACATTAAAGGGTATCTTGAATGCCTCATTCTTCACAAAAGAATCTTCTATGATTGAGATGCATGATTCATGTAATACTCCATGTCAGACTTGATGCAAAATAGCAGTGTACTATTTAAGCTATAATGTTGCTTCCTTGAGGGGTCTTACCAACAGTATATGCTCAGATGCAATAATCTGCACAGTAATAATTCATATTGTTTTAACACTCAACTTCAAAATGGCAAGTTCTCCATGCAGTGGCTTCCACAGAGAGGGGAAGATGTGTGTGTGTGTGTGTGTGTGTGTGTAGAGAATGACAAAAGCAGCATCCTGCTGCTGTAAGCCGTGCCCCTTTTGTACAGGCCTTGTGATTTCACATTGACATATGAAAGGGACAGATCTTGCAGTGTGATGACATGAAATTGCTTTCATCATTTTGGCAAATAGGTTTATTAAAGCTGTGTAGGAACTATATGCATCTGGAAGGGAGGTACAAGCTTTTAGCCAGATAATTATGAGTAACTTGGGCAAATGAGTAACTGCCAGCGTGTGATGGGTAGAAAAGTATATGTACTTCAAGAGACGTAGTTGTGTTGGTCTGTTGCTGCAAACACAACAAAATATCCGTGGCAGCTTAAAGTTGAACCATTTCATGCTAGAATCTTTGCATTCCACACGTCATCTAAACTTTTCAACAAGATAACAATGTACAATTTAAAACAGAGGTTGGGAAATTTAGCAGGTGTTAGGCATCCCCTAGGGGACGCGGTGGCACAGCGGCTTAATCACACTGAAAGTTGCCAGCCAGAAATGGTCAACACTTCAGCGATTCGAGTCCCGCTCTGTGCGGCAGAGTAAGCTCCTGTCTTATCCCCAGCTTCTGCCAACCCAACAGCTTGAAAGCATCCACGAGTAGATAAATGGGCACTCTCACCCTGATGGTAGGAAAAATGCTGGCGGCGCCTTGCATGGGAGACGGGACCAGTTGCCGGTAACGTGGAAGCCCCGTACGCCCGAAAAAGGTGCGAAGCAACGGAAACTCCGCCTCCTGCGCTTGCCAGCTGGGCTCCACTCTAGGAAGGAGGCACTGGCAAACCACTTCCAAAACACCTTGCCTTGAAAATTGCAGGGACTCGTCCAGGCAGTCGCCACAAAATTGGTCACGATTGAGTGTGAATTAAAAAAAATAAAGGCATCCCCAAAATTAATAATCGACAGAATCCCTTGAGAATTCATGAGAATTCTCACGGTCTTGCCCAATCTCACAAGTGAACACTCAAATCATTGGCAAGCACAAAATTGCATGTGGTTTGGTGATATTTTAAAATTATTTAATTTTGGCCATAGATACCATGTAAAGTGGTGTGGGCAGAATGTTATGTACCTGATCTTAAGGGTTTACAGTAGCATTTTTTAAACAACCATAATTAAGTAAAATTACCTGTGATGTGAATCTACATACTGCATTTTTATTTCATTTACCTTACTTAATTTATCAATGACAGGATATTTGTGATGTTATGAATGCTTTATGTATAATGCTATGTTATACATAGATTGAATTTTGAATGTTTAGTTTCAACTTCTTTCTTTCATTTCCCTCTAATCATACCAGGAATTTCTCCCTCCCTGTTTGAACAAAAATGTGGTTATATACTAGTCATTTTAGGATAATTTCCAGTGCATCTGATAGGCTAGATTCTAGTATCTGAAAGCTTTTTCCATAGTAAGTGGTTTAGTCTTTAACATGTCACAATCATCTGTTACTTCGGAAGTATAAGCAGACATAATATAATGGAGTGTAGCAAGCATGATTCATTTATCTGAATACCTACACTGTGTAAAACTAGGAATCATTAATATTTTTGTTTGTTACATAGAACGTTTTTGTCAGAAATGTAAGCACAAGGCTGTCTTACATATTTGTGTAAAAGGGAAATTAAAGCATTCCAGCACTGAACCAATAGCTTCATTTGCTTCTGATCTTTGCAGCTTAATACTCTTGTCATCCATACTGCTTTCAACTTCTTCACTGATACCCTGTCACTCTACTCTTTCATAGCGAGTTATCTCTTTTCTGCTTCTTTTCCTGACCTCCTTCTTTAATTCACTCAAAGAATTCAATCACAGCTTCCAACAGTTATACCATAATACTATTATTGTTCCTATATGTCCTATTATTTGTTCCTATATGTCCTATAAGAAGAGATCACAAAGATAGCCAGGCACTCTTATGGCTACACATTACTCTAATATGTTACAGGCTGACTTTTCTAGATTTTGTTCTAGAAAGTTTCTTCTCTAGTTCAGCTTCACTGCTGACCTCATTATTATCTTGACTATCTTGACTATCTGGATTATGTTCCTTAACCTCCATGTAAACTACATTCTGGATACATTTTGTTTATGTACAAAGTCCCCAGCTCCAGTCTCTGAATTTACATTCCATCCTGGACACTTTCCTTGCAAACATCTGGAGTGCTCTAGTCTTGCTTTCAGACAGCTTTCAGGCCTAAATGTGCTAGGTTGGTCATTTAGACCACAACATAGTGATACAGAATGAGGAACTAAGTCTTGCAATAGACTTGGATGCAAATTTCACTCTTACATTTTCTCTGGCAACATTATTTTAGGTCTCAATAATGTCACTCATAAGATTAGAGATTTATACTTCTATAATTTTTCATTAAATCTATGGCATCATGTTTCTATAATGTGCCACTGCATTTTATGTAGAACAAATAGTCAAGATCTATACTTCAACTCCCCCAAATGTTCCCTGACTAGCCTCAAGTTAGCCATCTTGCAAAAAGATTACAAGAATCAGGTTTATCACAAAATGGCTCAACTAGACAGTCAACTATATTTTATGTGGAATTAACAGAATTAAATGGTTTTTCTTACATGTATTAAGAGCTCAGCAATATTTGGGCCTTTATCTACTACTAAGTACTGTCAATTCATCCTTGAGTTGGCAGAAAATAGTAGAGGTATGAAATTTGCTGTTCCCATTGCCAGTTCCTCTTCAGGAAATGAGTGCTTAACAGATTTTACCACTAATTGGTGTTAGAATATTATATAGTTTGATATAATACAGCTAACAATGACATAAACCTATTGACTTGTGGGTTGGAAATGAGTTGAAGGCATCCCATGGGGAAAAGGGGGAAAAATGGCTGCAAAGCAAAGTTGTGATGTGGTTAAGTACAAATGGGGACACAGCCTAACAATCTGGGTTTTGAACATAAGTGTTGTGAATGGCTATTGCTAGAAAGACTCTTTCTATGCTTAATTATTCTATATTTTATTTTTCCTTATCACTCCAGCCCCAAATGAGTCTGTCTGTCTGTCTGTCTGTCTGTCTATCAATCTATTTATCTTAGAAGAATCCTTCATATGCATCCGATGAAATAGATAATAGCCCATGAAAGTTATAATAAAGTTATTAAACTTCAAGTTGCCACAAAATCATTTGTTGCTTTTGCTTCAACAATGTGTTTTATTCTGATAACTTTCTATAAGCCTAAATTATTTTTATTCACTTAGGAAAATATTTAACATTTATTCAAATGTTTAATCACTCCGGGCAACAAGAATAGGAAATGTTTGAAAAAAAATTAACGTTAAAACCTGATTTCTGTTTAAGCATTTTGTTAAGCTTAACTGACTTCTTGCGTTTGATATTAAACTGACTTGATGTCTCACCATATTTTTCTGTTTTCTTTTTGAACCTAAGGTTAACTTAATTTAAATTTATTGACAATATTGAAATTTGTCTGCTATGTATCTCAGCTCATGTGATTATTAAATATGTAGGCTAAAGATTTAATACAACTGATATCCAACACCTCTAGGAACAGAAAGTTGGGAAAAGCTGTTATTAATGAATCAGAGATGTTGGTATTATTTTATACTGCTTGTTTTCTCTTCATGCTTTACTTTTTTTTTACGTAAACAGCATCAATATTGTCTCATATTATTTAATTTCCTTTATACACCAATACATACAAAAATAGCAAGAAATTCTCAGTGCAAATTATACACTAATTGTAACCATCAAATTGCAGCATGATCGACTATGAAGCCATTTTTTTTAATATCAGAAATGTAATAATGACATACTGTTTAGAATGTTTGAAGGTTTTTTTTTTTAATATAATACAGTCAAATAACTGTAATTGTGTAATCTTTTACAGAAGGCTTCTGTAGATGGCTTACTACTAGATTATATGAATCAAGCACTACTATACATTTCATATATGTTTCCAGGAAAGTTAATATTAAATTTAATTAGTACTAGAATCTTTTGCAATGACATATCTCTATTCCTAGGAATAGGAATAATTCAGTTTTATTTAGTTCAGTCAGCACATTTACATGCTGATTAGGAAAGAAAATAAAATCAAATTGTGAAAAATATTGGGTCTGCTATTTTCTGTTTTGTCAACTATTGTCTTATCCCTTTTCAACTTTTGAGATGGAAGAAATTATTACATTAGGTTATGTACAATTAACTTTATTTTGTTTTCATTCATATCTTCATTTTATTTATAATGAGTAAAGGGGCAACTAGAGCAAAGCCGAAATATTTCGGTGTGGAAGAAGAACTACAGAGAGAAAAAACACACACAAATTAAGACTGTTTATTTCATGGAAATGTACATTTATACTGTTTTGGGTCATTTGTGACAAAGCTAAAGGAGTGATATGTTTAACTTTTGATGCGATTTGTTAAATTCTGAATTATTCTATGCCACAGTAAAACCAGTTTACGAGAAAATCTAACTATGTGGCGTTTGCTTTTTATGAATAAGTATTCATTTTTAGTTTGTATGTAAAGAAGCATGGTTTCTGATTCTTTAGTGTTAAATTGCTTCACTTTGTAACTTTCTGGTCCATTTCTGGTGCAGGTACTTGGAACTAGAAAGCAGTGGCCATAGAAATGAAATTAAATTGCACTATCGTTCAGGAAGCCATCGCTCACACACAGAAGTATTTCCTTACATTTTGGCAGATGACAAGTGGCACAGGCTGTCCTTAGCAATCAGTGCATCACATTTGATTTTGCATGTAGACTGCAATAAGTAAGTTGAAAGTTATATTTTGTATTAGTAACTTGTAGCTGCAGTATTCAAGATCATCTGTGAATTGAAAGAACATGACTACTTTTAAAAAGTGTTTTACTTGCACTTTCTGTTTTTCAAATAGAATATATGAGAGAGTTGTGGAAAAGCCCTATATGGATTTACCAGTTGGCACTACCTTTTGGTTGGGACAAAGGAATAGCGCTCATGGCTTTTTTAAGGTATTTTTTTTTTAAATTGAAACCATGTTTTAAGTTTAAGTAGACAAGATTTTTTAGCTGGAGCAATGCATGTATTGTAAAAAAATATTTAAGCACATTTGAGAATATTATCAACTTTGATGGTGAGGCTTGTATTATATATATTTTCCTTGGACTGTTAGGTCAGTTATGACTGTTTTATGATTTTAGCTTCTCAGCTCAGGACAATAGTTGGACACTATGGGATTTTTTGCTATTAGGCCTTTTTGTTACATGTTTTATAAAGTTGAAGGTGATATGAAGTCCTTTTCCTCCTATGCTCGTCTCATCTTGTGTCAGAAGTGCAGGAACTGGGAAAGGGAAAATTATTAATCTAAATTTAAAAATTTAAAAACTTTAATAAAAGTATAGATTTATATAATTGTTGCCCAATGCCGGGCCACATTGATGGCAAAAATATTTCCGGCCAGCAAGTCATTCTGCGTGCATGTCAGTCCCAAAGGACACTGTAAAAGATGGATAATATCCTCCTATGCCAAATCTGGCTGTTGAATACCCATAGTTGGTATTTTCCAAGGCTATAAACAGGAAAAAGAAGAAGATTCCATTACTGTAGAGTGAATTTCCTCTAAAATTAAATAATTGTATTAATTGGTCTTAAATTATTAAGACTTTGTTAATATAATTTAATTAAGATTAAATTATTTCTGACTTTGTTAATATAAAGATTACCTAGTTGATTTTTTCTTTTATCAACTGAGGATGGGTGTATTTTACATATGAGAGAGTTTGACTTTAATACATGAAAGTGACATATTTTTAAAAAAATATAGAGGACTTTGAATCATTTGATTGCACCTTTTACAGTCCCTTCAACATTTATATTTTGTACCTGGTAAGACCCAGTTGTTATGTCTGGAGGACACGGATGACATGCTAAGAGGGTTTTGCTTACAGCAGGTTCAGATGAACTTGTATCAATAATCAACATTCTTAGAAGGGTTTTCTTAGTTTAAGACTAGCATCAAACCTTCAGGTCAATTGTTATAGGTAAGATTAAGGTATTCTGAGCTAAAGCCAAATCAGCAGGACCCTATTGATGGAAGCTGAATTCAGATCATACTATGACAGAGGAAGAAAGATAAAAAGTTGCCTGTAGTGGATAGCTTCACTTGACTAGTTGGCAGTTATCTTGTTAAAGTACAGGTAGTCCCCGGGTTAAGAACGCCCGGTTTATGGATGACCCATAGAACAAATTTTGTAGCAAAATTTGATTTAAATACACAATGATTTGAGTCAAATATACAATGGTTTGAGTTCATTACACTACTTATACAGTACAGTATATATAGTACAGTATATACAGTATTAGACAATACAATAAATACAATATACAGAATTATACAATACAATAATACTGTTCCAGCTTACATACTACAAATTTGACTTAAGGACAGACCTTGGGAATGGAACTTGTCCTTAACCTGGGGACTACCTCTAGTTGCACAGCTTATATGTTTTTATATTTCAAATTTGGTCACCGCCCATCTCACAATATGTTCTTAGACCTTCCTTTGCTTCTGAAAAAACCCCCCAGATTCTGGGCTTTTCTGGACTGCCAGATTGCTCCATCATCAGTATGGGCCAGCAGTGGTTTTGGATAACAAGAACCCTGACTCACTACTGATTCACTGTCTGCAGGCTTTCCTTTCCCACTTTCAAAGTGGTGTTTTTCTGCCCTTGTAATTTCAACCATTGCTGTCCAAATGGTCTACTAATGTGTCTTCCTTCTTGGCCAAACACTGCATGCTGATTGGCTATATTTCACAGAGGTGCAACACACCCCTCAGCTAAATCAATGATTACTGTGGTCTCTAGTATCTGGTACAAAATAATGTGTTTCTTTAATAATTGTATGCTATATATTGCTTCATGTATTTTTATGGATGAAATATCCCTTTGAAATCCATGCTAGATTCTGGAAAAATAACTTAATAAATACAGTTGTCTGGGTATATATGCCAATGGTTGTATATTCCAATTTACCATTAAAATCAGGTAACTTGTGATCCTATAGATGTTGTCTAATCACCATTCCTACTGTCTCTCGTCATGCCATATTGGCTAGATTTAAGTGTTGAAATTCAGTGAAAAATGGAGTTGTTGTTTTTTAAATGAAGCCTAACTTTCAGAATTCACTCTCCCCCCCAC